TTGAACCACAATACCGATAAGTGATTAATAAAAGTCAAAAGACCAAAGAGGTCATCTTAATACCAAAAAAAAAAAAACTAATGTATATAGCAGGCACATCTTACTAATAATATGCATTTTTACACAAACAACATATTGATCTTGTTACACTTTTACTTTTTTTCATAATTTTAACCAATCAGATTTTTTGCATAAAATATGTAACAATAATTTGAGTGTTTATATTATATGTATATACAAATGTATGCACTTATCAAGCAGGGCTAAAACAATACATAGTATACAGTAGCTATTTTCTATGCCACTTTCTATTGTTTAAAATATCTTTTTTGATATATCTGATTATAAATATATTTTATTAATGCAGTACTTGTATTATATGTATAATCATACTGCATAATTGTTTCTTAAGCCAATAAAATCTTAATATAATATGAATTAAAAACAACACTTATTAAATAGCTGGCATTTACTATATGTTGTTTTAGTTCTGTTATCAAGGTCTTATAATAAAATTTTTTTTTGTTAAATTTTATATTTTACAAAAACTGAGTTGGTTAATATTAAAGAAAAGTTAAACTAAGCAACAAATGCTGTTAAAAACTTATATATATATATACATACTGTATATATATAATTTAGAATTTATGTCTAAAATGTGTATTGATTTTTGTTATAAAAAGAGTCTTACTAAATTTTACTAACTATTTTATAAAAAAATTTTTAGGATTGCACTATCTTTGTATGCATTAAGACTGCCAGGAAGTCAGAAGTAACATTTAAGCAAAAGACTAAGAACTTTATATAAATATTGGTTAAAAAACTATATTGTTATAGCTTATATTTTACCAAGCATATGAGAATTGCTTTCTAATAATAGAGTATTAGACTAGTACTTTGATATTAAACATTAGTACCTTGATATAATAATATAAAAAACTGATATTCTTAAAATTTTTAAAGAATTATAAAGAACCAAACTATCATAATTAATGAATCAAAAAACTCATTAGTGTTCAAAAGTATGCAAAAATCTAAAAGCTTAGTAGAATCTGAAAGTTCAGTTGAACCTAAAAGACCAATAGTATTTGAAAGTCTAGTAGAACTTAAAAGCTTAGTAAAATTTGAAAGCTTAGTAGAACCTGGAAGCTTAATAGAACATAAAAGCTTAGTAGAATCTAAAAGCTTAGTAGAACCTAAAAATGCATTTTTTAAAAAGAGCAATATTTATGACTTTTTTTGAGGTTTTCAAATATGTAATCGATCAATATTTAGAAGCAAAAAGATTTAAAGTTATTTACTATAAAGGCAGCAACTATAGTGATAGTTTATATTATATTTAAGTCTTTACTTGCAATTATTATAACCAATTCAAACCTAAATCTAAAGATTCTAACAAAAAAAACTAAAATGCAAAATCAAAAAAATATAATTGTCTATAGTCTATTTACCTTAATCATAATCAAAATGACAATAAATATTATATTTCATAAAGAGTACTTTATCATAATCATCTTTTGATTCCAGTTTAGCTCAGATGCATTTCATCTAACAGTTATGAAATACCAACAGATATTAAAGAGGAAATTCTATTCTTAAAAAAGGCTAGAATCTCAATATTACAAATTTAATCATTACTTATAACAAAATATAAACCAACTACCAAAAAATGAACAATTTAGGATGTATACAACTTTATTAATACTAATTGTATTTTATGTAGTAGATTTTAGGCCCATGATTTTTTTTTCTTTTATAGCAAAAATGTAGAGATAATTCTAAGTTTTCTTTTGAATTTGAGCTGAATTGAGAAAATCAGTTGAAGTATGTAATTTGGATATATCTGTCACAAAGGTGGCAGTATATGCACTTTTACAATATAATCATATATAACAATATATATAAATGTAATTATTTTTTAATACTCTTTAGGATGTTTACAAATATTACTAATAATAGATACTGCTAATACTTTGCTTTGTAATAAGACTTACTCAAGTTTTGAGTAGCTTTTTGAAGCTTTTATATGTATTTTCTGTATTGCATCATAAACTATACATACTGACAATAATCTTCCTATAGCTGATGCTATCTATTCTGTTCTAACTCTTAAGCACAGTACCAAACATAGTCTCTGCATATGTTATATGCTTAAAAACATTAGGTCAAATATAACCTCTAAGCTTGGACTTAAATATAATGAGTTTTATTTAGATCTTATTAAATATCTTAATTACTACATTAATCAAAATAAGTTTAAAAAGCAATAGAGTAATATTATAGTAAATAATAATTATGCTAAAGCAAGATCATACTTAGAAGTACTTAACTAATGACATGAATATTGGGCCCTAGCATATCTTAAAGACTATTTTTTTACTGATATGTCATCAATACAGAAAGGAAATTTTTTTTTTTTTTAAATATTAATGGTAAGGCCATGCCTTTAACTTTATTGAAATTCAATTAAAGTTTTTACAAAGAAAAGCTTGCTTTTAAATTACATATGAAGAATAAAGACTCAGACATATAATCTGCAACCTAAACCTACAAGAGTGGCCAAGGCTCATCTAGATTTGGATGTTAGTAATAATATATATAAGAGAGATATGATATTTAATCTATTGTATAGTCCAAAAATCAATTTTAGTAATAATTTGTGGTATTGAGATAGAGGGTGATGGTAGACTATGAAGAGAATTATGAGTTGAGTTTGTAAAAAGTGTAGTTGAAGACTGTGCTAAATGTGAAATACAATATGGAATCCATAATTGTTTATATATTTGTTGATTTAAATAAAGAAGAAATTTAACAGAAAGAGAAGTAGCTATGCAGTAAGAAATAGAAGTATTATGAATAGTAAAGATAAGGTTGATAGGGACTAAGCCAGATAAAGTAGAAATAAGAGATGATATATGAAGAATTTCTTGATATAGGTTAGAAACAGACTTAACAAACATGTCGAGAGCAGTAGCATTTAAGATGCAGTTAAGAGAATTAGAGATTAAATGATAAATTGTTTGAGTGAAAGAACAAAGAATCCAGTATAGTGAAAAACTAGTTTGATTGCATTGGTGGCAGAGAGGAGAGTAAGAAGAGTTGTGTTTATAAAGAGTATGAGGAACAGGTAGTTTATCCAAGAGAATTTTAATACGAAAGGTTTTTAAAGTAGAGGAATGAAAACTGTGAACAAAATTAGAAACTTTTTGATTGTTATTAATGTAAAACCAAGTGGCTTTTCAGTTAATATTAGATGCAATAGTAGACCATTGTTGAAAATGGTGTTAGGATGTCCAAAGTATTATAATATGAGCTTGACAAATAGTACAGATAGAGTGTTAAATAGGGATTTCAATAGGAAATTGATCATAAAATATGGTATAGGCAGGATTGTAAGGGTTGTTAGTTAAGAATGTTATAAAAGGTAATATTTGATGACTACGAGCAAGTTGGTCAGCAAGGTTGTTAAATAGATCATCTTGGTGTGCAGTAACTTTGTAAAAAGTAAGCTGAATGTTGTATGAGTTAATAA